TATTATATTTAAATAATTGTTCCAAACCGCACTTTTATCCAAATTATCAAATTTATTGTATCTTATAATAAACCATTTTACTTATAATTATAAACTCATTTGTTGTTTATTACCAGTATACAGATTCGATTTGAAGTGGTTTTGGAAAAACTTTTATTTCTTTTAATCGTCCTATTTAACGGTTTATTATAATCCATTCAAGACTTATACCTGAACCACCGGTCATCATAGTTAACAGTTGCCTTTTATTCGTAATTATTTAATTTAACAAATTTAGGTCATTCTGCACTCTATTGTGCATACTTTATTATTTAAAAATTGTATTTAAATTTCAATAAAATAAACACAAAAATCCGTTTTAAAATGTGTAACGTTTAAAAATGACTAACCTGAGCGGTTCTTTTGAAAAAGTAAATGACTCAAAGATCTGGATCCATTACAAGACTTTTACAATTTGAAATGCAACACTTTAGGATTTCTTTGTGTACTGCGAATTTAGAAGGTATTATAATATTTTAGTGTAGACTCAATATTAGGTAATTATTTGACCGAATACAAATTGAAATAACACAATGTTACAAGAATCGAAAAACGTATGCTTCTTAGTAAAATTATTAAACAAGTTTAATGTATGAAAGTAAATTACATTCTGTACATGAAAAAAGAAATTGTATAAAATAATACTTAAATATTTGTAAATAAATAAAACTATTTCGATTCACTCGACTTTTACTTTTTTATTTTCGGTTAACATTTATCTGTACATTAAATTCTTCTTGGAAAAAAAGATGTTTAAGCAATTTGTAGAACTTTGTTTACTTTATCCCATTCAATTTAGAAAAAAAAAAATTATTCACGATAATGTTAAGAAGAAACGGCGCAATAAAAGGGCAAAACAAGTACATGAACGTAAACTGTAAAGAAGCATCAGAGTTAAACATTTTGACAATAACAACTGGCTGATGTGAAGAATTAGTGAAAAAAATATTCCATTAATGAATTAATTGAATAAATATTAAACACATTTAATGTCATTAGTTGTAAAGAATGTCTTGACAGCCGTCAAGATTAATTAAATTACTCATTTTTAATATAGGCACATAATATGATTTTTAAGTTGATTAATAAAACAAAAAATATTTGTGTTGAATAACACTGTCTCTCAGTTATCTCTATCACAAAAAAACGCAAACCAATTATTTCAATTAATTAGTATAACTAATATGAATCTACTTCGTTCCTCTCTAATCAATGATTTAGGTGTACTATTTGATTGAAAGATACTATTCAACAACCACATACTATCAATCCAAAACAAAGCTCTATCCTTATTTGGTATGACTAAACATAAGTGCTTAGATGTCAACGATCCGTACACCTACAAATGCCTCTATACTTCTCTTGTCCGATCTTTACTGGAATATGCACCAATAATTTGGTATAACAATAGCATTGGGCATAATAACCCTGATGGCCTTATAAAGTACTTTTCAGGTATGATTTCTGATCTTAAGAGTTGCTACACGAAGAAATCGGTTCAGCGGTTTACGAGATATCGTGGGTCCAGACTCAAAAATAAAAACACACATCATTGTAAACACAATACCTTCTCAGCTTCGCACCGAAGCTAAAATGTCTTTGAATGGGATTAAATCAAATCAGACAATACTTAATAACGTCTCGCACTACCAAAATAGAATATAGACAAATATCTATGGATGCGTTGCTAAGTAATTAGTTGTTAGATAAACAGTTTTCTAACTATAGTCCATAATATAACAATTTATTTATTATTCATTATTATAAGTGTTCAGCACAGAAAATAAAAGAGCATGTGATGCTCATAAAAGTAGTAGTGAAGTGAGGTTGTGAACTAACGCAAAAGCAGGCTTGGCCACAATGTAGATATTACTGCTTTGTTAAGCTGACTTTTTTTAGAGAGGGTCTGGTGCTTGGCCCTTCTTCATTATTAGGTTCAACGGTGAAAAAGGTCTAACCTAAGTAATATTCATTTACTCTAAATTTCGTATAACTACGTTCGTGTGTTATGCACGCAACAGTTGAACATTTAACCAGAGGCCCAAATTTAGGTTTCAACAAATTGATAATATACGTTAGGTTTTATTTTATAATCTGAATTTTATTCCTATGAAATACGCTAGTATATAACCTACAACAAACGATAAAGTTTGTAAAAAACACAAATCTAGTAAACATATTTTTTGGGTCATATTTACTTTAAAGTCGTACAGATACGAAAAAAAACATACGTGTATATTTACTGTTTCGGGTACAAGCCACCAAAAGATTACTTTAGAACAATTGTTTTAACATACAAGTTCACAAGAGTTCCACCAAAATTTTAAAGCTAGTAAGTAATTAATGCATTTTTATTAAGTTTTCTTAATTTCCTATTTTTTTTATTTTTGTGTGTAGAAATTACAATCTATATTTTATTTATTTTATCCCCTTTGAATCGCAGGTGGCCCCGGAACATGCCTGGTGAGGCATTACTTCGGTACCACCTATATCGTTTATTGTATCTAACAAATTACTCACGCACTTTAAGAGGGTACTCCACACACCCTCTCAACATTTAATTACATACTTTTGCCTTACAAACTAACACATCCCCGGATGGATTGGGGTCCAATATAAATATTCACATTGGGCCCAGATGAGTTTATTTCAATGTTCCTCACAGCTAGTTTGTGTAATAAGTATTACATTTACACTGTTATACACTAAATACGAGTTGTATTTAAATATTTACAAACGCTTGGCGGTGCCTTCTCGGGCCCTGCCATCGGGAAACAGTCCCCTCGTGACTACCTTGAGTGTGGATACTTGTTTATAAAATATTTACATTTTATTTTGTAATTTGATTAGCGCTCTATAAATACCATTATTTTAAAAATTACTGTCAATTGGTATGAAATATTCTTTATATTTGATGCTATCAAATAATAACACTTGAACAATTTCATGTAAATTAACACTAAGCATAATTTTATTTTAACATTGATGCAAAGCTGAAAAGATATTTATTTTACAATGGTGTGTTTTTATTAATTTTTAACAAAACAATTAAAGAAGTTCACCCCTTCTCCTTTAAAGTCAAGAATACACTTAAACCTTAAAAGTAAGGAGCTCTATAACTTTTTTAAAAATAATCAAACTAATTTCAAATTTGTATGGACTATTTTATTTTATTTTGACCATTTTATCTGAGAAGTATCTCTCAAGTGCAATTTCTTACCTATAAATTAGCTACATCAAGATATGGGTTTAGTGTTTTAGAAGTTATCATTTTAAAACGAAAACCTTCTCAGTTTGGCATCGGAACCAATAATTAATAATTGAAGACTATGTCTAATACAAAAGGCTATTATGTTTATTATTTTTTGCAGATAAAAATGAAACATTTTTGTGTTTTAATATTACTCGTTGTTGTAAATGTCTTAGCAGATAAAAAAAGTAATTATTGTTTATTTTATTTTTTACACTACCTACTAGAAGTAATTAAAAATCTAATAATTAATTTTTTCGCAGTTGAATATAAAAGGGAGCTTGTCAACACAAGTTAGTCATCTTTTTTTTTTTTGCAATCAAATTAACCTTTGATTTTAAATGTTTGCATATATTTATTTAAATTTATTTATTACAGATAATCAAATCAAGAGGGTGCCATATCCTGATGGTATATACACTATATATTAGAACTTATTTGTTACCTCAACTCATTATTTTCTTATTCTAGTTAATTTGCTACTGGTAATTAGAAAAATTGTTGGTGGAACTACAACGATGGGTAATTATAATTTAACAGTATTTGAAAGTGTTAAGTAAGGTACATACCTCTAATATATTTATGTTATTCAAATTTAAGTGGAACTGTCGTATATGTTTGCTGCACCGGGTAATCATTTTCCTCAAATATATGAACGTGTCTGCACATAGTTGTTTGATAGTAAGTATAAAATGTTCTCATTAATGTTTCAGCAATGGCAATGGTAATCGATGTATGCGATGAAAACTACGAAGAAATACTGCAGCGTAATTACTCTTATACATTTTAAATTCAGAATCTTTACATAGACATGCATGCATAATTAATATATATTCAGATGTATTTCTATCTTAAGAAAGATTCACAAAAATGTTGTAAAAATTAATTATAATATATTTTTTTTTTTTTTAGAATGCATAAATTCCCAGAAAGAATTGCAAAAAGAAATAACTGACTTGTTAGGTAAATATAAACATTTTGTAATATACAATTTCAAAAATGATAGTCATTTATTTCTAAGCAAAGTATATGAGTTATCAAATCTTACTGTTATAGATAAAACACAAAACTGGTTTTCATTTACTGTACACTTCCTTTAATATTTTTGGTACAGGTGTGACTGTTTCTGAAAAAGGTAATTACGCATTTAATCGTTAACCACATATAACCCTAACAAGTTTTTTTGTAACTAAATGATTGTGTATTATTTATTAATAAGTAAAGTACTATTCTCAATCTAAAATATGTTAGCCAAAAATGTGTCAATAGATTTATAGGTCGTCCATAACTTCATTCCAAAGCAAACTATAGATAAAATTGCTAATAATAGATGAATAGTTTGTTACATTTGAATTATTCATATCACATCATTAGCAATGTATTTTGAAAGTTTTTGCATGTTTTTTGAAAAATGTGTTCAAATCTTTTTGGCATAACTACCGTGTTAGCGTTTTGACAGTCAGTCAAGTCTTATATACACCGTTCAATAGCAGAAAGTAAATTTAAATAAAAAACAATAATTAGGTATTTACTTGCTGCTATCCGTTTGCTTGTTACAGTTTAAGAAGGTGTCGACCTATTATTATTAAATCACCACGATTATTAAGTTACACAATTTATTTTTATTTATACTAATTTTCTTATTTGAAACTCTTTTATAGCTTAACTCATTATTTGTTTATGCTAGGTCTACTACGTGCTGCAGTGAGATGTTTGCCTTGTACATGTGATTCGATTGGTAGTTATCATAATAATTATATGAAACATAAATACAAAGCTTAAAAATACCGTAAAAAAAAATTGAAGCGTTGAATTATCTCTATGCAAAATTATCAGTGATATATCTTTGCTTAGTGACAATGCTGAATATTATGCTTGCGTTATATTTTTTTAATTGTAAAAAGAAAATGAAATTGTTCAATGGCATATGAGAAACAAATTGTAATATTATTTAAAAATATATACAAGGCATATATGTTTTTAATTAATACATAAGTATAGGAAAATTACTTACAACTAGTTTATTTTAAGAACTGTTGAACAAATCTTAATTGTACTACATTAATAACATGAGCAATTATATAATATTGTTGTAAAATATTTTTGTAACCAACACGGTTTTTTATTAAATTTTACAGACTCGTATGGGTTTGTAGAACTTCAACAAGAGAGAACAAAGCTAACTCGTGATGTTATACAACTATCTATCAATCTTGCATCAAGTAAGTATTATATCAAATTGCAATAGTTTAATTTATGTTATACGTATACAGGGTGTTCCACAATGATTCGACGACAAATAAAATAACTTTTGTACTAGTGAATATATTTAAGAATTTTTTATTTTATTAATTTATACTCATTAGCGCTATAAGCACCACGTTTTTTATTGCACATAACTATTTTACTTTCAATAAAGCCAGTTTATTAAGAATATTTTGCTGGTCGATAACCAGATTTGGATAATAATTTTTTAAGTTACTAAAGGTTAAATGGTATGATGGGAGGTGGAGTGCGGTAGAGTAAGCGCGTAGAACTTTTTTTATCAGCATATAAGACTAATAAGTTAAAAATTGGCAAATTTTTAAATATACCTTTTTTATTTTTAAAGGACAAGGCCATGTCGATTTCGGAGATTGTTGTATGATGTGTCGGTTGAAGGGTGTGCTCAGTAGTATATTATACCCAAATAAGTTTATTGTAGAAGCTAAAGTTGATGGTGATAAATGTCATCTAAAAGATATTAATGATAAAACATACGAAGCCAACTGCATTGGAGATGACTAATTAGAAAAGCATTATTTATATATTAAAAAGTATTCACCTGCTTCTAAGTTGTTATAATTTAGACCATTTATCATAGACATTAATCCATTTAAAATTATACAGTACTATCGTTATTAATTATTGTATTTAAATAATTGTTCCAAACCGTACTTGTATCCAAATTATTAAATTTATTGTATCTTATAATAAACCGTTTTACTTATAATTATAAACTCATTTTTTGATTTTTACCAGTATACAGATTCGATATGAAGTGGTTTTGGAAAAAGTTTTATTTTTTTTAATCGTCCTATTTATTGGTTTATTATAATCCATTCAAGCCTTATGCCTGTACCACCAGTCTTCATCGTTTACAGTGGCCTTTTATTCAAAATTATTTATTTATAACAAATTAAGGTCATTTTGTACTCTATTGTGTATAGATACTTACATTTTTTTTTTTGAAAAAACAAAAACTAATTACAACTAGAATTGTATTAACATTTAAATAAAATAAATACAAAAATCGGTTTTGAAATGTGTAACGATAAAAATGACTAACCTGAGCGGAGCTTTTGGAAAATTAGAATGACTCAAAGATCTGGATCCATTACAAGACTTTTACAATTTAAAATGCAATACTTCGCTAATTATTTTTCTGTTCTGCGATTTTGGAAGGTATTATAATATTTTAGTGTAGACTCAAGACTAGTTTATTATTTGACCGAACAAACACAAATTGAAGTAACACGGTATTACAAGAATCGAAAAACGTATGCTTCTTTGTGAAATTATTAAACAAGTTTAATGTATAAAAGTAAATTCCATTCTGTACTTGAAAAAAAATTGTATAGTAAATTTATAAAATAATACTTAAATATTTGTAAATAAATAAAACTATTTCGATTCACTCGACTTTAACATTTTTTTTATTTTCGGTTAACATTTGTCGGTACATTAAATTCTTCTCGGAAAATAAGATGTTTAAGCAGTTATCTCTAACACAAAAAAACGCAAACCAATTATTTCAATTAATTAGTACAACTAATATGAATCTACTTCGTTCCTCTCTAATCAATGATTTAGGTGTACTATTTGATTGAAAGATACTATTCAACAACCACATACTAGCAATCCAAAACAAAGCTCTATCCTTATTTGGTATGACTAAACATAAGTGCTCAGATGTCAACGATCCGTACACCTACAAATGCCTCTATACTTCTCTTGTCGGATCTTTACTGGAATATGCACCGATAATTTGGGATAACAATAGCATTTGTCATAATAACCAACTTGAAAAAATGTAAGTAGATAAAGTCCTTCACTTCATTTGCTACAAATGTAATATAGCTAAACCTCCCCACACTGGTTATGAAAACATCTTTAGAATCTTAAACATGGATTCTCTACAAACGACTGCCTGGTGTCTAACTTAATGCAATCGGTGTACCAATAAGAATCGGCGTGCTACTTGAATCACACACAACTACATGGCGTTACCTAATCTAATATTAATATCGTTCTTTAAAATACAATGTAAAATTAAATATATAAAGGTGTATGGTTTTTTATTGTTAGCATTCTTTGAAACCGGTACTAGTACTCACGACTATTTTAATTTTTTGTAAGGTCTTATGTTGTGAGTTTCGTATAGAGGTTACAAATAATTGGTAATACGTTAGGTTTTACTTTATGCTCTGAATTTTATTCGTATGAAATACGCTAGTATATTACAACACACGATAAAGTTTGTAAAAAACACAAATCTAGTAAACATATTTTTTGGGATCTTATTTACTTAAATTCGTGTCGATACGAAAAAAACATACGTGTATATTTACTGTTTCGGGTACTAGCCACCAAAATATTACTTTAGAACAATTGTTTTAACATACAAGTTCACAAGAGTTCCACCAAAATGTTAAAGCTAGTAAGTAATTAATGCATTTTTATTAAGTTTTTCTTAATTTTCTATTTTTTTTATTGTTGTGTTTAGATTTACAATCTATATTTTATTTATTTTATCCCCTTTGAGTCGCAGGTGGCCCCGGAACATGAATGGTGAGTCATTACTTCGGGACCACCTATATCGTTTATTGTATCTAACAATTTACTCACGCACTTTAAGAGGGTACTCCACACACCCTCTCAACATTTAATTACATACTTTTGCCTTACAAACTAACACATCCCCGGATGAATGGGGGTCCAATATCAATATTCACATTAAGCCCAAATGAGTTTATTTCAATGTTCCTCACAGCTAGTTTGTGTAATAACTATTACATTTACACTATTATACACTAAATACGAGTTGTATTTAAATATTTACAAGCGCTTTGCGGTGCCTTCTCGGGCCCTGCCTTCGGGGAAAAGTCCCCTCGTGACTACCTTGAGTGTGGATACTTGTTTATAAAATATTTACATTTTATTTTGTAATTTGATTAGCGCTCTATAAATACCATTATTTTAAAAATTACTGTCAATTGGTATGAAATATTCTTTATATTTGATGCTATCAAATAAAAACACTTAAACAATTTCATGTAAATTAACACTAAGCATAATTTTATTTTAACATTGATGCAAAGCTGAAAAGATATTTATTTTACAATAGTGTTTTTATTAATTTTTAAAAAAACAATTAAAGAAGTTCACCCCTTCTCCTTTAAAGTCAAGAATACACTTAAACCTTAAAAGTAAGGAGCTCTATAACTTTTTTAAAAATAATCAAACTAATTTCAAATTTGTATGGACTATTTTATTTTATTTTGACCATTTTATCTGAGAAGTATCTCTCAAGTGCAATTTCTTACCTATAAATTAGCTACATCAAGATATGGGTTTAGTGATTTAGAAGTTATCATTTTAAAACGAAAACCTTCTAAGTTTCGCATCAGAGCCAATAATTAATAATTGAAGACTATGTCTAATACAAAAGGCTATTATGTTTATTATTTTTTGCAGATAAAAATGAAACATTTTTGTGTTTTAATATTACTCGTTGTTGTAAATGTCTTAGCAGATAAAAAAAGTAATTATTGTTTATTTTATTTATTACACTACCTACTAGAGGTAATTAAAAATCTAATAGTTAATTTTTTTTGCAGATGAATATAAAAGGGAGCTTGTCAACACAAGTAAGACATCTTTTTTTTTTTGCAATCAAATTAACCTTTGATTTTAAATGTTTGCATATATTTATTTAAATTTATTTATTACAGATAATCAAATCAAGAGGGTGCCATATCCTAATGGTATATACAGTCATTATTAGAATTTATTTGTTACCTCAACTCATTATTTTATTATTCATATGTACATATGTACTTCTATAATAAGAAAACATGTACAATAGTGTTGTAAAAATTAATTAATATGCTTTTTTTTAATTTTAGAAGGCATAGATTCCCAGAAAGAATTGCAAAAAGAATTAACCACCTTGTTAGGTAAATATAATAATTTGTCAATGCACAATATCAAAAAATGATAATCGTTTATTTCTAAGCAAAATAGCTGAAAATTTGATTTGAGTTCTTAAATCTTAAAGCTATATGTTTTTTTACTAGAAGTTTCGATGATTGTTCGTAGTATAATCATTATTCAAATGCCTAATAACTAGTCTAAATAAATGTAGTTTTAGATACTGTTATAGATAAAACATAAAACTGGTTTTCATTTACTGTACAATTATTTAATATTTTTGTTACAGGCGTCTCTGTTTCTGAAAAAAGTAATTACGCATTATTATATTTATTCGTTAACCTTAGTTGTTTTATTGTAACTAAAGGATTGTGCGTTATTTGTTATGAGTAAAATACTATTCTTAATCTGAAATATGTTAGCCAAATATGTGTTAATAGATTTATAGGTCCTCCATAACTTCATTCCTAAGCAAAATATATAGATCAAATTGCTAATAATAGATGAATAGTTTGTTATGTTTTAGTTATTCATATCATATTTCATTACCAATATAAAATTTTAAAAGTTTTTCTTGTTTTCTGAAAACTTTATTTAAATATTTTTGGCATTACTAGCGTGTTAGCGTTTTGAGTTTTGACCGTCAGACAAGTCTTATATACACTATCCAATAGCAGAAAGTATATTTTAACAAAAAAAATCATTAGGTATTTACTTGCTGCTATCCGTTTGCTTGTTACATTTTAAGATGGTGTCGACCTATTATTATTAAATAACCTCGGTTGTTAAGTTGCATATTTTATTTATATTTATGCAAATTTTCTTATTTGAAACTCTTTTATAGCTTAACTCATTATTTGTTTATGCTAGGTCTACTACGTGATGCAGTGAGATGTTTGCCTTGTACATGTGATTCGATTGGTAGTTATTATAATTATATAAAAATAATGCTTTTAAAAATCGTAAAAAAAATAAAGCGTTGAATTATATCTATGCAAAATTATCATTGATATATCTTTGCTTAGCGAAAATGCGGAATATTATGATTACGTTATGTTACGTTTAATTGTAAAAAGTAAAATAAACTGTTCAATGGCATACGTGAAACAAACTGTAATGTAATTAAAAAACCTAATACTTGGGACCTAAAAGTAGTGAATAATTACAAGACTTATACTTGTTTAATTAATACATAAGTATAGGAAAATTATTTACAACTAGTTCATTATAAGAACAGTTGAACAAACAACTTAATTGTACTACATTAATAACATGAGAAATTATATAATATTTTTGTAAAATATTTTTGTAACTAACACGGTTTTTTATTTAATTATACAGAAACATTTGACTCGACTGGCTTTTTAGAACTTGAACAAGAGAGAATAAGCCTAACTCCTGAAGCTGTAAAACTATTCATCACTCTTGCATCAAGTTAGTATTATATTAAATTATAGTTTTACACTCAAACAAAAAGTAACATTTTATCGAAAATGTTATATTAAAAGTATTTTTTTTTTATGCTTTAATAATATTTCTAGTTTATATAAATGAATATATGAAATTATTATTTACATTTTCATATATTATAGAAATATAGTTATGACAAAATTGTTAAAATTAATGTTTCTTAAGATAAAAAGTCATGTTGTCCAATTTGTTTTGTTATTAACTTTTTGTTACTCGAAAAAACAAATAGGTGATTTTTTTCATATCAAATTGGTTTTTTAAAAAAAATGTTGATGGTTACCTTTAACATAGTTTTTAAAAAACGATAAAAACGAAGAGTAAAGAAAAATATTATATTATAACCTATTCAAATAAAAAGTAACTTTTTAGTGATGTAATTTTGTAGAAAAGGTATAAATTAAGCATTTTCTTTAATAAAAAATATAAATTTAACTTTTTTGATATTTTAATAATTCGTCTAGTTAAATAATTAAAACTTTGGTTTGCTTTTTAAAGGTGTATTTTATACAATTTGTATGACTAATAGGTTATGATATACGAGGTGTCCAGTCTATTTCATCCCTAATGTTATTTTCTTAGAGTAACAAAGCTGTACCATACGGATCATTTGTATATAGCAGTAATCACGTTTATTAATTATGCCTTACACACTGAATAAAATATGTAGTAACTATTAAGTTGAGATTGGCAAATTTTTAAATATACCTTTTTTATTTTTCAAGGTAAATGCTATGCTGACTTCGGAAATTGTTACCTAATGTGCCGGTTTAAAGGTATATACAGAAGTATTTTACACCCAAATGAGTTTATAAAAAAAGCTAAAGTTGATGGTGAAGAGTGTCATCTAACTGATTTAAACGAAAACGTACACGTAGTCAGTTGCATTGGGGATGACCTATCAGAAACAGATCATTAATATAATAAAAAGTATTCACTTGCTTCTCAGTTTTTTATAATTTAGACCATTTATCTTAGACATTAATCCATTAAAAATTATACAGTACTATCGTTATTATATTTAAATAATTGTTCCGAACCGAACTTGTATCCAAATTATCAAATTTATTGTATCTTATAATAAACCGTTTTAGTTATGATTATAAACTCATTTGTTGTTTTTTACCTGTATACAAATTCGATTTGAAGTGGTTTTGGAAAAAGTTTTATTTCTTTTAATCATCCTATTTATTGGATGCTTATTAAAATCCATTCAAACCTTATGCCTGAACTATCAGTCTCCATAGTGTACAGTTGCCTTTTATTCAAAATTATTTATTTATAGCAAATTTAGTTGATTCTGTTCTCTATTGTGCATTCTTTGGAGTCATCAAACACACATTTTTTTTTAAACAAAAACTAATTATAACTTGATTATTATTTAAAAATTGTATTAAAATTTAAATAAAATAAATACAAAAATCCGTTTTGAAATGTGTAACGTTTAAAAATGACTGACCTGAGCGGATCTTTTGGAAAAGTAAAATGACTCACAAGATCTGGATGCATTTCAAGACTTAAACAATTTGAAATGCATTACTTTAGGATTTCTTTGTGTTCTGCGATTTTGGAAGGTATTATAATATTTTAGTGTAGACTCAAGACTAGTTTATTATTTGACCGAACAAACACAAATTGAAGTAACACGGTATTACAAGAATCGAAAAACGTCTGCTTTGTAGTGAATATATTAAACAAGTTTAATGTCTTCTTATTGTTATTATTTATCTTTGCCTTACACTCCCAACTACATGGGGTCGGCCACCCTAGTCCTACACCTCCATAGAGCTCGGTATCTTAAATCTCGTTCAATAACCCCCGCTACCATCATTTCACTCTGTTTTCCGTCCACCCATTTTTTCTTTGGTCTTCCTTTTTCACTTTTTCCCTCTACATTTATCTTCATAACACCTCTCACTGCCTCTGCCTCATCTCTTTTTATAACATGACCGAACCGTCTCAACATATTCTCTCTCGTTTTCTCCACAATTGATGCAACTCCTAGACTGCCCCTTATGGATTCTTTTCTTATTCTATCTTCCCCAGTCACTGCACTCATCCATCTTAACATTCTCGTCTCCGCTACGCTCATTCTCTGTTCCGCTTTCTTATCTACTGCCCAACATTCTGACCCATATAACATTGCTGGCCTCACTACCGAAAATTTACCTTTCAATGTTATAGGCATCTTTCTTTCACACAAAACACCCGACGCTCCCCTCCATTTTATCCATCCACAGTTAATCCTATTTTTCACATCCTCCTCGTACCCACCATTTTTCTGTACCACCGATCCTCAGTACTTAAACCTATCAACCTCACACACTTCTTCATCACTCATCCGCATTACCTGTCTTACCCTATAACCTTCTCCAAAATTAAACACGATTGACTCCGTTTTAATCCTACTAATCCCCAGTCCTTTCCATTCAAGCGCTTCTCTCCACTCTTCAAGTCTCTCACCCAATTCTTCCCAATTTTTTCCCCACTAACACCACGTCATCCGCAAACATCATACACCATGGCACATCCCCTTGTATATCTTTCGTCATCTCGTCCATTATAAAAGAGAACAAGTAAGGACTCAACGCTGAACCTTGATGCACACCAACTCTTTACTCTTGTACTTGCTCCTTCATACATTTCCTCTATTACTTTCATATACACCCTCGGAACTCCTTTCTCCCCATTAATTAACAAGTTTAATGTATGAAAGTAAATTCTATTCTGTACTAGAAAAAAAATGTGTATTATAATATTATAATATAATATCTAAATACTTGTAAATAAATAAAACTATTTCGATACACTTGACTTTTACATTTTTTTTTATTTTTGGTTATTATCATTATGTGTACATTACAACGGCGCAATAAAAGGGCAAAACAAGTACATGTATGTAAACTGTAAAGAAACATCAAAGTTAAACATTTTGACATTAACAACTGGCTGATGTGGCGAATTAGTGAAAAAAATATTCCATTAGTGATTTGATTGAATAAATATTAAACGTTATTAGCATTTTAATGCTATTAGTTATAAAAAATGATCTTGACAGCAGTCAAGACTAATTAAATTACTCATTTTTAATATAGACACATAATATAATTTTTAAAGTGATTAATAAAACTAAAAATATTTGTGTTTCTACGTTCAATCTCGGGTAAAAACATAAAAAACTGAATAACACTATCTCTCAGTCATCTCAGATTTCTACGATCTGTACACCTACAAATGCCTCTATACTTCTCTTGCCCGTTCTTTACTGGAACATGCACCGATAGTTTGGGATAACAATAGCATTGGTCATAATAACCAGCTTGAAAAAATTCAAGTAGATAAAGTCCTTCGCTTCACTTGCAACAAATGTAATATAGCTGGCCACGCTGGTTATGAAAACATTCTAAAAATTTTAAAAAGTAAATTACAATTCGATGACAATGCATTATTAATCCACACGAGGTTGTAAATTCCACCATCAAGGGGATTAAATTGGGGTCGATTTCTTGTCAGTCGTTCCGGGTGGAATCTTGCAATTCAAAATATATATATATATATGTATATATATTTATTTAAATGTACAATGTACATACGAAAACGATCAAAATAACTTAAGTAGATTAAAAAATTAATCTAAAAATAACGTTTTTATACGTCTTAAAAAGAGTAAAATAACCCTCCGGGGGTCTTGATAACCAAATAGGACAGGCGAACTAGAAAAACGTGGGGCGCATCTTTCTACTTAGATATTAAAACCTAAGCTTTCATGCTAATGCATTAAGTTGTCTCTCACAATGCTGTCTCTCTAACCGAACGGATCGGAAAGTGATGGTATGACTTTTTATCGGAAATGAAATTTAATGGATTTCCGTGCCACTTGCCTTAAATTTCACTGCGAATTGGAAAGACTTAATTGCTATTCTCTCCAAAGTTTGTTTTATGTAGGTTGCTTCAATTTGTTTGTTAACTACCTACTTGCTTAACATTTAAAGTAATATGGTGCTCAATTTCACATGACATGTCATTAAGTATTATTTTATTTAGAAGAGAAATAATGATTGTGCATGAATTATGAGTTCAGGTAGTAAGTTATTAATGAGAAGAGAATGTTATTATATATTAAGACGTGTGAAGTAGTAAAGATGCGCCTCACGTTTTTCTAGTCCACCTGTCCTATTTGGTTATCAAGACCCCCGGGGGTTATTTTATACTTTTTAAGGCGCATAAAAACGTTATTTTTAGATTAATTTTTTATTTTCTGGGTCCTATATTTCCTATATTTTTATCAAGTTATAAGTTTCCATGCATGGTATATACATATATATATATATATACCTTTCAATTTTGTACTTGAATGCTTATATAAAATAGCGTAATACATTTGATGTAAGACATTCGTTTTCTTGGAGACTATGAATATTTTGAAAACAATTTGTTTCCTACGCTTGTAGACAGAGTTTTTTAAATACTCACAAAAGTTTAACTTAATCCCTTATTAATAGAATATATTAGAATTTAGTTTTTTTTTCCAAATAGGATCATGTTTTTTTTAATTTCATAATATGTAAACAAATTTTTAAAAAATGTTACCGTTAGAATTTTTATATTTTTTTAACATTGTAGTAAATGTTACATTTTACACTTATAATAAATGGTTGTAACATGATGTATTTGCTTTTTTCAAAGAAAATTAGAGTGAATAAATAAACATTTGGTTCAGTGTAATGTCAAATAATTTAGTCTTTTAAGTATTTTCAATGTATAAAATTATCGTCCACCATTTGTTTTTTGTTTGCATAAATGTGAACAATTGATTACATTGTTACAAATATTTTAATGTTTACCGTGTCTGAATTTAAAATGCTTAAACAGAGAAAATCTTTAATTAATCGTTTTAACTATAACTTTTAAGAAATATTTGAATTTTGAACCATTTTGCACTATTTCTAACTTAAAAATTACGTCGCTAAATTAATTTTTAAAAATAGGCAAATAAGTTCTAATTATGTACCGAATTTTTTACTTTACGCACAAAAATCGGGCAATTAGTAATATTATTTGAGTATTAATAATACAAAACAAGTTCAGTATATAGTGTGTTATAATACCAACGAATTGGTTAAAGTTACATATTTTAAATGTTTTCCGGTTTATTAATTAAACTTAACTAATAGGTGTTGTATGACATTAATACATTAACTTGACCTCTAAAGGCTTAGTTCAAGTGTTATATATATCAATAAATATAATGTATAAACTATCTCTTCCTTAGTAAATAGTAAGGCTAAAACACCACTCAGAAGTGGAAAACCTTTCATTATGCATATTATAATATGTTATTATAATAACTGTTTAAAAATATATATAACTATATATTTTTTATTGTATCTGGAAATTGTAACAAATAGAACGGTTATTTTCTTGTTCGTTTGCAGAATATTTTAACCAGAGGCCCAAATTTAGGTTTCAAATTGTAAAATACATTATGTTTTATTTTATACTCTGAATTTCACTTGTATGAAAGGCATAGAAAAGTGTAAAAAAACACAAATCTAGAAAATATATTTTTTTGAGTCGTATTTACATTAAATTCGTATCGATATGAAAAACCGTTGAAGTATTATGTGTAAAACACACCACTATTTTCATTTTTTTTTTTTAAGGTCATATTTTTTAAGTTTCGCAACGACGTGAGAAACAATTGACACTTGATAATGGTCTATGTACCCAAATTTTTCTTACTATCAAATGAGTTAGCATATATAAGACCTTGGAGTGTTATGTGTAAGACACACGACTATTTTCATTTTATTTAATGTCTTATTTTTTAAGTTTCGTATCGATGAGAACAACATATGAGTAATATTACACAGTGCTGTGTAGAAATATAAAAACAATAGCCTAAACTTTCCTTTACACCTGTATACATGAAATATACTTGCGTATTGCAAAACCTATACCGATTTTACTGTTTCGGGAAAAAACCACAAAACAAATCACTTTTAAACGGTTGTTTTAACATACAAGTTCACAAGAGTTCTACGAAAATTCCAGAACTAGTAAGTAATTAATGCATTTTTATTAAGTTTTTCTTAAAAACTATTTTTTTATTTTCGTGTTTAGATTTGCGATAAACTTTTAACCACTAGGCTAATTTTATTAATAATATAGTACAGAAATTGTACACCGTGTTTTGTAAATATTTTTAAATTATCATTCAAAATCAGGAAAAATAATTTTAATAAAAATGTGTATATAGTTCAACTTAAATTAAGGAACAATAGGCAAACCTTTAAAAAAAAGTTTTCCAGCCGAGTCTGCAACCACGAAAGAGCATTTTCATGTCTCGTTGAAGCACCGAATAAATGTAGAGTTGTGGTGGAATTATTGATAATGATATAGTATATTAAGAAGCAGTAACAAGCTAGTATATTAAAACATCAAGTTTCTGGCTAATATTGTAGTGTTTAATATTTGGCTTAAAACAATTCATACAGAATTTGGGCCCTTAAACTGTTTTGAAATTATTATTTAGTTCTAATTTGAACGTTGAACGTACAACATATCTCTTAACTCCTATATCTTACCCCTATCCCCTACCCCCTAACAATCACCCCCTATCTCCCACCCTTATCTCTCATTCCCCTATCTCGTACCTCTATCCTTACCCCTATCCTTACCCCTAACTTCTACCCCCCCCTTCTATCTCTCCCTCTTCTATCTCCTACCGCTATCTCTTTTTTTTAATTTATGCCATTAATTTTTTTTATTTATGTCAATATATTGTTTAAATAAAAACATTTATTATTAGAGTAGTATTTAATGAGATGTTCTTTGTTGTTATGTAAGATGGAGAGGAAATCATAAACTATGTTTCTGCTACACTCTAAAATTTTCATAATGTAACTACTGCCGTTTTTCCCCTGTACCCTTCATATAATATTTAGATCAGAGACATAACCTAAAATGTGCCTATAAATTAGCTACATCAAGTTATTGGTTTAGTGATTTAGAAGTTATCATTTTAAAACGAAAACCCTCTCAGCTTCGCATCGGAGCCAATAATTAATAATTGAAGACTATGTCTAATACAAAAGGCTATTATGTTTATTATTTTTTGCAGATAAAAATGAAACATTTTTGTGTTTTAATATTACTCGTTGTTGTAAATGTCTTAGCAGATAAAAAAAGTAATTATTGTTTATTTTATTTTTTACACTACCTACTAGGAGTAATTAAAAATCGAATAATTAATTTTTTCGCAGTTGATTATAAAAGGGAGTTTGTCTACACAAGTTGGTCATCTTTTTTTTTTTGCTATCATATTAACCTTTGATTTTAAATGTTTGCATATATTTATTTAAATTTATTTATTACAGATAGACAAATGAAGCAGATAAAAGGTCGTGATGGTACGTACACTTATTTTTTGAATTTATTTGTTACCTCAACTCATTATTTTCTTATTCTAGCTCTTTTGGTACCGGTAATTACAAACATTGTTTGTGGAACTACACCGATGGGTAATTATAATTATTACAGTATTTGAAAGTGTTAGGTTAGGACTTAAGTACAAACCTCTAAAAAGTTTATGTTATGCAAATTTTAGTGAAACTGTCATATATGTTTGCTGGACCAGGTAATAATTTTTCTCAAATATATGGACGTGTCTGAACATAGTTGTTTGATATAAGTATATAATGTTCTCGTTATAATTTCAGCAAAGGCAATGGATATCGATAAAGGCAATGAAAAATACGAAGAAATACTGCAGCGTAATTACTCTTAAACATTTTAAATTTAAAATCTTTACACAGAAATGCATGCACAATTTATATAAATTCAGATTTTTATTATGTACCAACATATGTACTTCTATAATAAGAAAACATGTACAATAGTGTTGTAAAAATTAATTAATATACTTTTTTTTAATTTTAGAAGGCATAGATTCCCAGAAAGAATTGCAAAAAGAATTAACCACCTCGTTAGGTAAATTTAATAATTTGTCAATACACAATTTCAAAAAATGATAGTCGTTTATTTCTAAGCAAAATAGCTGAAAATTTGATTTGAGTTCTTAAATCTTAAAGCTATATGTTTTTTTACTAGAAGTTTCGATGATTGTTCGTAGTATAATCATTATTCAAATGCCTAATAACTAGTCTAAATAAATGTAGTTTTAGATACTGTTATAGATAAAACATAAAACTGGTTTTCAGTTATTTAATGATTTTTGTTACAGGTGTCTCTGTTTCTGAAAAAGGTAATTACGTTAACCACAAAATATAACCCTAAGTTTTTTTATTGTAATTAAATGATTGTGCGTTATTTGTTACTAGGTAAAATACTATTCTTAATCTGAAATATTTTAGCCAAATATGCGTCAATAGGTTTATAGGTCCTCCATAACTTCATTCCTAAGCAAAATATATAGATAGAATGGCTAATAATAGATGAATAGTTTGTTACGTTTTAATTATTCATATCATATTTCATTACCAATATAAAATTTTAAATATTTTTGGCATTACTACCGTGTTAGCGTTTTGAGTTTTGACCGTCAGACAAGTCTTATATACACCGTCCAATAGCAGAAAAGTATATTTTAACAGAAAAAATCATTAGGTATTTACTTGCTGCTATCCGTTTGCTTGTTACATTTGAAGATGGTGTCGACCTATTAGTATTAAATAACCACTGTCATTAAGTTGCATATTTTAATTTTATTTATGCTAATTTTCTTATTTGAAACTTTTTTTATAGCTTAACTCATTATTTGTTTTTACTAGGTCTAGTACGTACAGCAATGAGAAAATTTGGTTGGACATGTGATTCAAAGGGTAGTTATTATAATTATATATAAAACATAAAAATAATGCTTTTCAAACCGTATTAATTGTGATAAAAAAATGTAGCGTTGATGTATGAAAATTAGTCAGTGATATATTTTTGCTTAGATGCAATGCAGAATATTATTCTTACGTTATATTTTTTTAATTGTAAAAAGAAAAAGAAATTGTTCAACGGCATATGTGAAACAAACTGTAGTATTATTTAAAAACCTATGGCTTGATAAAGTAGTGAATATTTACAAGGTTATACTTGTTTAATTATTACATAATTATTGAAAAATTACTTACAACTAGTTCATCGTAATAACATTTGAACAACAACTTAATTATACTACATTAATTACATGAGAACTTATATATTATTTTTGTAACACACGGTTTTTTATTAAATTATACAGATGCATTTGCCTTGACTGGCTTTTTAGAAATTCAACAAGAGAGAATAAGCCTAACTAGTGAAGCTATAATTCTATCTATGAATCTTGTATTAAGTAAGTATTATATCAATTTGCAATAGTTTAATTTATGTTATACGTATATACGTATACAGGGTGTTCGACAATGATTCGACAAATTAAATAACTTTTGTACTAGTGAATATATTTAAGATTATTTTTTTATTAATTTATACTCATTAGCGCTATAAGCACCGCGTTTTTTTTTTGCACTTAACTATTTTACTTTCAATATAGCCAGTTTATTAAGAATATTTTGCTGGTCGATAACCAGCTTTGGATAATAACTTTTTAAGTTACTAAAGGTTAAATGGGAGGTGGAGTGCGGTAGAGTAAGCGCGTAGAGCTATTTTTATCAGCATATAAGACTAATAAGTTAAAAATTGGCAATTTTTTAAGTATACCTATTTTATTTTTATAGATCCAGACTATACAAATTATAGAAATTCTAAACTGATGTGTCGTTTGAAGGGTGTGTACAGAAGTATATTACACCCAGATGAGTTTACAGTAGAAGCTGAAGTTGTTGATGATAAGTGTCATCTAACTGGTATAGACAACAAATTACACGAAATCAGTGTCTTTGGGCTTGACCTATCAGAAACACATCATTAATATAGTAAAAAGATTTCACTTGCTTTTCAGTTATTTAAATTTAGATCACGAATCTTATTGTTAACTTATTCAAAATTATAAAAAACTATTGTTATTATATTTAAATTATTATTGCAAACCTCACTTGTATCCAACTTATCAAATTGTATGTATGTTATAATAAACCGTTTTACTCATGATTATAAACTCATTTGTTGCTTTTTATCTGTACACAGATTCAATAATAAGTGGTTTTGAAAATAGGTTTATATCTTTAAATCATCCTCTTTAATAGCTTATTATAATCCATTCAAGCCTGTCTTCATAGTTTAAAGTTGCCTTTTATTTGACATTATTTATTTCTACCCATTTCTTATTCTCTGGAGTAAACAAGTACACATTATAGCTTGTACAAAGCACGTCATAGGCAATCACATGTTCACTATGCTGTTTATGATATCCATATATAGGCATAGTCCGTTTATACCGATTGTCAAGAAATAAAATACCAAATAGTAGAAATTCAGTTGTAAAAGGAAAAAAAATGTTATCAATAATATTACTTATGTGTAACTAAATGTGTAGGTATTTAGTGAAAATTGACATTTATTTCATTTAAGTTGCGTTTGTTAACAGTTAATTGTAGTTTAATCATAATATAGATGAAAGCACAATGGACACTGATAAGAAAATTACATGTATTTTTATGGAAACTCACAATTTCGAAATAAATGTCAAGCAGTGCAGCATTTAAATGGGAAAAGTATAATAATCAGCAATGTATGTTAGCTGGGTATTTTAAAATAACGGGTATTTAACACGGGTCTTATACAGATTAATTGGAGAAAGTGAAAAAAATCAAATGCAAAAATTACAAAATCATCCTATTCAAATACTTTCTTTTAACTTAAATGAACTTACCGAATAAATCATGTTATACCATTCTGTACTTGAAAAAAAAATTGTATTATATTTACTATTGAGTGCGTTAGTATATAAAATACTTGATAAAAACACACAACTATTTTCATTTTTCTTACCGTCCTATTTTTTAAGCTCTCTATTGTGCATTCTTTGGAGCCATCAAACACACATTTTTTTTTAAACAAAAACTAATTATAACTTGATTATTATTTAAAAATTGTTTAAATAAAATAAATACAAAAATCCGTTTTGAAATGTGTAACGTTTAGAAATGGCTAACCTGAACGGATCTTTTGGAAGAGTAAAATTACTCACAAGATCTGGATCCATTTCAAGACTTTAACAATTTGAAATGCAACACTTTAGGATTTCTTTCTGTTCTGCGATTTCGGAAGGTATTATATTATTTTGGTGTAGACTCAAGACTAGTTTATTATTTTACCGAACAAACACAAATTGAAGTAACACAATATTACAAGAATCGAAAAACGTATGCTTCTTGGTGAGATTATTAAACAAATTTAATGTATGAAAGTAAATTCCATTCTGTACTAAAAAAAAAATTGTATTTTAATTTTATAATTTAATACTTAAATATTTGTAAATAAATAAAACTATTTCGATTCACTCGACTTTTAATTTTCGATTATTCACTATCTGTACATTAAACGGCGCAATAAAAGGGCAAAACAAGTACATGCATGTAAACTGTAAAGAAGCATCAAAGTTAAACATTTTTACAATAACAACTGACTGAAAGTGCGAAAAAATATTCCATTTGTGAATTGATTGAATAAATAATAAACTCATTTAATGCTATTAATTTTAAAGAAAGTCTAGGCAGCATAGGAGATTATTTAAATTACTCTTTTTTAAGAAATTTGAAGAAACAGAACTACCCTCAAATTATGGGTTTTTCTGAATAACATAGTTTAGACTACTGTATAATTCTTTTTTTTTCACCTAATATAGTAAGGTACACTTGAACAATTTCTATTAGTTTCGGGCAATTAGTAATATTTTTGGAGTATTAATAATACAAAACAAGTTTAGTATATAGTGTGTTATATTACCAACGAATTGGTTAAAGTTACATATTTTAAATGTTTTCCCGTTTATTAATTAGACTTAACTAAGAAGTGTTTTATGACATTAACTTGACCTCTTAAGGCTTAGTTCAAGTGTTATATATCAATGAATATAATGTATAAACTATCTCTTCCTTAGTAAATAGTAAGGCTAAAACACCACTCAGAAGTGGAGAACCTTTCATTATGCATACTATAATAACTGTATAAAAAAATATATAATTATATATTTTTTATTGTATCTGGAAATTGTGACAAATAGAACGGTTATTTTCTTGTTCGTTTGCAGAATATTTTAACCAGAGGCCCAAATTTAGGGTTCAAATTGTAAAATACATTATGTTTTATTTTATACTCTGAATTTTACTTGTATGAAAAGTGCTTGTATATTACAACAAACGATAAAGTGTGTAAAAAAACACAAATCTAGAAAACATATTTTTTTGGATCGTATTTACATTAAATTCGTATCGATATGAAAAACTGTTGAAGTATTATGTGTAAAACACACCACTATTTTCATTTTTTTTTTAAGGTCTTATTTTTCAAGTTTCGCATCGACGTGAGCAACAATTGACACTTGATAATGGACTATGTACCCAAATTTTTCTTACTATCAAATGAGTTAGCATATATAAGACCTTGGAGTGTTATGTGTAAGACACACGACTATTTTCATTTTATTTAATGTCTTATTTTTTAAGTTTCGTATCGATGAGAACAACATATGAGTAATATTACACAGTGCTGTGTAGAAATATAAAAACAATAGCTTAAACCTTCCTTTACACCTGTATACATGAAATATACTTGCGTATTGCAAAACCTATAACGATTTTACTGGTTCGGGAAAAAACCACAAAACAAATCACTTTTAAACGGTTGTTTTAACATACAAGTTCACAAGAGTTCTACCAAAATTCCAGAACTAGTAAGTAATTAATGCATTTTTATTAAGTTTTTCTCAATTACTATTTTTTTATTTTCGTGTTTAGATTTGCGATAAACTTTTAAACACTAGGCTAATTTCATTAATATTATAGTACAGAAATTGTACACCGTGTTTTGTATAGATCAGGAAGCTAACCTAAAATTTGTTTTATTTTGCCAAATATTTTAAAATTATCATTTAAAATCAGGAAAAATAATTTTTAAAAAAATGTGTATACAGTTCAACTTAAAATAAGGAACAATAGGCAAACCTTTGAAAAACAAAGTTTTTGAAATCTATACACTTTGTTTTGTAATTTGATTAACGCTCTATAAATAATTATTGTTATATATTATTGAAATACGAGTAGTACACCTTTTTATTCGTGTAGTATATGAAGGGCACAGGGGAAAAACGGTAGTAGTCACATTAAAAACATTTTTTTTTTTCAAATAGTTTTTTTTTAATTATGCCATTAATTGTTTTTATTTATGTCAATATATTGTTTAAATAAATACATTTATTATTATAATAGTATTTAATGAGACGTTTTTTGTTCTTATGTAAGAGGGAGAGGAAATCATAAACTATGTTTCTGCTGTACTCTAAAATTTTCATTATATAACTACTGCCGTTTTTCCCTTGTGCCCTTTGTGTAATATTTAGATCAGAGACATAACCTAAAATTTGCCAAAAACTTGACAAAATATTTAAAAAGTTTCCTTCGATATCAAGAAAAAAATGTTTAAAAATTTGTATATGCTTCAAATTAAAATAAGGAAAAATAAGCAAGCCTTTAAAAAATGAATTTGTTTTAATTTAATAAGTTTACTAAAAATGTACATTTTAATTTGTAATATGATCAGCGCTCTATAAAAATCATTATTTTAAAAATAGTCCAATTAACTGTCAATTGATATGAAATATTATTTGGATTTAATGCTATCAAATAAAAACACTTCAAACATTTCATGTTTTGTAATTCACACTAAGCATAATTTGATGTTAACATTGATGCAAAGCTGAAAAGATATTTTTTTTTCAACGGTGTGTTTTTATTAATTTTTAAAAAAAGTTAAATAAGTTACCCCTTTTCCTTTAAAATCAAGATAACCCTCAAACCTTAAAAGTATGAAGCTCTATAAATTATTTTTAAAAATAATCAAATTAATTCCAAATTTGTATTGACTAATTTATTTTATTTTGACCATTTTATCTGAGAAATACCTCTTAGGTACAATTTCTTATCTACAGATAATCTACATCAAAATATTGGTTTAGTGATTAAAATTAATTATTTTTAAACAAAAACCTTTCTCAGTTTCGCATCGGAACCAATAATTAATAATTGAAGACTATGTCTAATACAAAAGGCTATTATGTTTATTATTTTTTGCAGATAAAAATGAAACATTATTGTGTTTTAATTTTACTCGTTGTTGTAAATGTTTTAGCAGATAAAAAAAGTAATTATTGTTTATTTTATTTTTTACACTACCTACTAGAGGTAATTAAAAATCTAATAGTTAATTTTTTCGCAGTTGAATATAAAAGGGAGCTTGTCAACACAAGTTGGTCATCTTTTTTTTTTTTGCAATCAAATTAACCTTTGACTTTAAATGTTTGCATAGATTTATTTAAATTAATTTATTACAGATAGACAATTGAACGATATAAAAAAACATCGTAGTGGTACGTACACTTATTATTTGAATTTATTTGTTACCTCAACTCATTATTTGTTTATTCTAGCGCATTTGATAACGGTAATTCAAAACTTTGCTCGTGAAGATAAACCGATGGGTAAATATAATTATTACAGTATTTGAAAGTGTTATAGTTAGTTACATACCTCTAATACGTTTGTGTTATGCAAATTTTAGTGAGACTATCGTATATGTTTGCTGCACCGGGTAATATTTTTTCTCAAATATATGGACGTGTCTGAACATAGTTGTTTGATATAAGTATATAATTTTCTCGTTTAAATTTCAGCAAAGGCAATTGATATGGATGAACGCAATGAAAACTACAATAAAATACTGCAGCGTAATTACATTACTTTACAATTGCTTGAACATTTTAAATTTAGAATCATTACATAGAAATGCATGCACAATTTATATAAATTCAGATTTTTGTTATGTACCTACATATGTACTTCTATTTTAAGGAAAAGTGTACAAAAATGTTGTAAAAATTAATAAATATTTTTTTTAATTTTAGAATGCATAAATTCCCAGAATGAATTTCAAAAAGAAATAAACACCCAGTTAGGTAATTAATATAGTAATTTGTTAAAATAAAAATTTCAAAAATGATTTTTAAGCAAAATCTATGAAAATTTGATTTGGGTTCTTAAAGATTTATGTTTTTTTACTAGAAGTTTCGATGATGGTTCGAAGTATAATCATTGTTCAAATGCTTAATAACTAGTCTAAATAAATGTAGTTTTAGATACTATTATAGTTAAAACATATAACTGGTTTTCATTTACTGTACAAATATTTAATATTTTCGTTACAGGTGTCTCTGTTTCTGAAAAAGGTAATTACGTTAACCACAAAACATAACCCTAAGTTTTTTTATTGTAATTAAATGATTGTGCGTTATTTGTTATTAGGTAAAATACTATTCTTAATCTGAAATATGTTAGCCAAATATGTGTTAATAGATTTATAGGTCCTCCATAACTTCATTCCAAAGCATAATATAGATACAATTGCTAGTTACGTTTTAATTATTCATTTCATATTTCATTACCAATATATTTTGAGTTTTTCTTGTATTTTGAAAAATTTTTCAAATTTTTTTGACATTACTACCGCGTTAGCGTTATGAGTTTTGACCGTCAGTCAAGTCTTATATACACCGTCCAATAGCAGAAAGTGAATTTTAACAAGAACCATCATTATTTACTTGCTGCTATCCATTTGCTTGTTACATTTTAAGATAGTGTCGACCTATTATTATTAAATAACCCCGGTTATTAAGTTGTATATTTTATTTATATTTATGCTAATTTTTTTTTTTGAAACTTTTTTTATAGCTTAACTCATTATTTGTTTTTACTAGGTCTAGTACGTACAGCAATGAGATGTTTGCCTTGTACAAGTGTATCGATTGGTAGTTATTATAATTATATGAATCATAAATATATATATATTTTTTTTATTTATTATATTTTAATTGTTTCAACATAATCTTGTTTTTACAATATATTACTTAATAAGTTACATAATTAGGTAGGCATAATAGAGTAATAAAATAATTTATAAATTATTTTAATTTAGCAAATTGTACATAAATTATGAGTTGTTTTAATTAGGTCATTAATCTGATGATACCGATGATGAAGATGACGATGGTGATTCTGGAGGTAGTAAGATATCTTGTGGGAGACGTGGCTTTAGTCGGCGGTTTTTGGTTCTTTTCCCAATTTTGAAGTGAAGGGCTCTTCTATTGTGTTTAGTTTCGAATGAAATTTTTTAAATTGTTCATTTATCCATGTGGTTAGGTATGGTATTCTAGTGTCGTTGTGGAGTTGTGTGTTTCGCATATACCATGGGGCTTTAAGAGCTATTCTGAGAAATTTGTTTTGTATCGTTTGTAATTTTGTAATTTTTGTTTGGGATGCGGCTGCCCATATAGGGCATGCATATGTTATTAAAGGTCTTATTATTGAAGTGTATATTAGTAGTGAGCATTTGATCTGAAGTGTAGAGCTGTAATTAATTAGGGGGTATAAGATTTTCAATCGTGTGTAGGCTTGGTTTAATTTTTTATTTATGTGCATTTTCCATGTTAATTTTTCATCAAGGTAAACTCCAAGATATTTAATTGATTGATCTTTATTGATCCATAATATAGGCTGATTTTCGATTTTTAATTGAGGTGGATTTGTATATCTCTTTAAGGTAAATATTTTCGCTTCGCTCTTAGTTGGGTTAAGAGCGAGTTTGCATTTTGTAAACCAGTCTGAAATTTGGTCCAAAGAAATTTGTAGATCTGATATTGAGTTTTCGAGATTTTTATGTTGTGTTATGATAACAGTATCGTCTGCGTACATGGCTAATTGGCATTTTTGTGGAACTGGGATATCATAGCAATAAATATTAAACGAGGTGGGGCCAAGGACTGACCCCTGTGGGACCCCTGCTTTTGTCGGGTGTTCTTCAGAGGTATCAGTATCTATTCTTACTTTAAACGTACGGTTTGTGATAAATGATGATATTATATTATATAGATAGGTTGGCAGTTTTAGTTTTGTTAATTTGGACATGAGGCCTTGGTGCCAGACCTTGTCGAAGGCCTGTGCAACGTCAAGAAAGGCAGTGGTTGTGTATTTTTTATTTTCAAATCCAACTACTATTATTTCTGAGATTCGCTGTAGTTGATGACAAGTGGAGTGGTGAGGTTTGAAGCCGAATTGGTGAAGTGGAATAATTTTTAGGTACGGTTTCAATCTGTGTAGCAGTATCCTTTCTAATAGTTTGGAGAGGGTAGGTAATCAACTAATAGGTCTATAGCTATCTGGTGAACTGTTTGGTTTTCCAGGCTTGTGAATTAAAATCATAAATATAAAGCTTAAAAAAAACCGTAAAAAAATGAAGCGTTTAATTATCTCTATGCAAAATAACCAGTGATAAATCTTTGCTTAGCGACAATGCTGAATATTATTCTTACGTTATATTTTTTTAATTGTAAAAAGTAAAAGAAATTGTTCAACGGCATATGTGAAACAAACTGTAATATTATTTAAAAAAACATATTGCTTAGGGAAGTAGTAATTGTTTACAAGGCATATAATTTTTAAATAAGTACATAAGTATAGGAAAATTACTTACAACTAGTTCATTATAAGAACAGTTTAACAACAACTTAATTGTACTACATTAATAACATGAGCAATTATATATTATTCTTATAAACTATTTTTTTAACACACGGTTTTTTATTAAATTATACAGATACATTTGACTCGATTAGCTTTTTAAAACTTGAACAAGAGAGAAAACAACTAATTCGCATTGCTGTACAACTATCTATCGGTGTTACACAAAGTAAGTATTACATCAAATTGCAATATTTTAATTTATGTTATACTATAATATATATATACAGGGTGTTCCACAATGATTCGACGACAAATTAAATAACTTTTGTACTAGTGAATATATTTAAGATTTTTTTTTTATTAATTTATACTCATTAGCGCTATAAGCACCGCGTTTTTTATTGCACTTAACTATTTTACTTTCAATATAGCCAGTTTATTAAGAATATTTTGCTGGTCGATAACCAGCTTTGGATAATAACTTTTTAAGTTACTAAAGGTTAAATGGTATGATGGGAGGTGGAGTGCGGTAGAGTAAGCGCGTAGAGCTATTTTTATCAGCATATAAGACTAATAAGTTAAAAATTGGCAAATTTTTGAATATACCTTTTTTATTTTTAAAGGTCCCGACAGTAAAGATAAAGACAATTTTGAAATGATATGTCGATTGAAGGGTGTGTACAGAAGTATATTACACCCAAATGAGTTTATAGTAGAAGCTAAAGTTAATAATGGTAATAAGTGTCATCTAACTGGTATAGACAACAAATTACACGAAGTCAGTGTCTTTGGGCTTGACCTATCATAAACACATCATTAATAAAGTAAAAAGATTTCACTTGCTTTTCAGTTATTTAAATTTAGATCACGAATCTTATTGTTAACTTATTCAAAATTATAAAGAACTATTGTTATTATATTTAAATTATTATTCCAAACCTCACTTGTATCCAAATTATCAAATTTTATGTATGTTATAATAAACCGTTTTACTCATGATTATAAACTCATTTGTTGCTTTTTATCTGTACACAAATTCGATTCTAAGTGGTTTTGAAAATAGGTTTATATCTTTATACTGATTGTCAAGAAATAATATACCGAATAGTAGAAATTCAGTTGTAAAAGAAAAAAAATGTTATCAATAATAGTACTTATGTGTAACTAAATGTGTAGGTATTTAGTAAAAATTGACTTTTATTTCAATTAAGTTGCGTTTGTTACCAGTTGATTGTAGTTGTATCAGTAAGATGACAATGGACACAGATAGGAAAATTAAATGTATTTTTATGGAAACTCACAATTTCGAAATAAAGTCAAGCATTACAGCATTTAAACTTTCTTTTAACCTAAATGAACTTACCGAATAAATCATGTTATATTAACAAAATATTTTAGCATATTTATCTTGTTTAATATAAAACAAGTTTAGTAAATAAAAAATAAATTTCATTATGTACTTGAAAAAAAAAATTGTATTATAATTTTTATATAATACTTAAAAATGTGTAAATAAAATAACTAGTCCGATTCACTCGACTTTTACTTTTTTTTATTTTCTGTTAATCTTTAGTGGTCGTATAGAGAAAAGTGTTACCTATATTAACACTTCCGAGGAAATCATTCCAAAGGGGTTAAGGGCATTTTTATTTCTCTAGTATAAAATAATTCTTCATTAATTTAATAGAAAATAACGTAGTTTTATAAAGTTTCTTACTCATGAATACGTTATTAGTATATAAAATACCTTGTAAAAACACACAAATGTTTTCATTTTTCTTACTGTCTTATTTTTTAAGTTTCGTATCGATGTGAACAACAAACGAGTACACTGTGTACACAAAACACTTTTCTGAATCAATACATAACCGCATAGACAGTTTTGCAAATTCGGATTTTAGCACACAATAATGCGTTGAAAAATAACACAATTTTTTGTAGTCGCTCAACATTAAACTCCATTCAGGTTATGTTACCTCTAACACTAAGTGTCTAAATGATCATTGTTAAAGAACCGTATCACCTGAATATTTACATAGACCTTTAATAAAGGTAGAAAAATAAGAGGAGGAGGAATAGATTAGATTGTTCAAGAATTTTTTTGTTGTGAAAATAAAAGTTCCCGAGTGATTCCCAGTGTACGGTTGTTGTGTGCGGGTACTGAACCGGCTGCAGTAGGGCTTAAGACAAAAAAAAAAGTAATAATAATAATAACCGACTTTAACCGCTTTGCCGAAATTTTGAGTCGCTAAAGTGTCGACCCAAAAAATAATAACAAACACACAGATGTCGCACAATAACCGTCATTAGTGCTGTTGTTGTATTAACACATTTCGCCCGTTTTCGGGGTCTTCATTGACATTAAAAACATTTTCAGTGGCATTTTTTTTTGTTCATCCCCAGACAAAACCGACACGTGGGCTCAAGTCATGTGTGGTTTATATTCCCCTTGGCCAGCAGCTGACGGCCGCACCGGGTACGGTTTATAATTATTATTGTATCCAATGACCTGCACGCCGTTGTGTTTTGTTGCATCCCAATGTTATTCCCAGCCCAATCCTCTGCTCGCAATAACCAATAATGGTTTTATTTTATTACCCACTGGTCAGGGTGATTCGTTCGACGCAAGCCACTAAATTCCTTTTGAAACAATTTTAATTTTGTAATTTGTCCTATTAAGAACATTGTTATTTTGATATACTATGAAAATACTAATCTGGGAAGATACTAACATTTGTAATTACATTTTTACAACAAGAACAATTTGCTGAAATTTAAAAAGCTACACTCCAAACTGGTTATTGACCAGTCAACATTTTTTAATAAATTATTAATAAAGTTTCAATGATCTGGAATTAGATGAAAACATTTAAATATATTCTCTATTACAATTATTACCATTGTCCATTTACTGTAATTCTAAGGATCCGATTTAATCAAAATCGGATAATTGCCTTTGTTAAATTTTTATAAGAGTGTTCTTCGATGCTTCGAGCAGATAAGGTACTGTTTTCACAATGATTGAATGACTAATTTACAACGAAGAAATCTATTTATTTCTCACACAGACCATATATTGTCAATTAATACTAAATTAATATTATTTACTTATCTAATAAGTTCAGTAAACATGCCTCCTAAAGTAAAATGTAAACAGCTTTTCGTATAGTTCATATTGAAGCATATAGATACTTACTATTGTGATTCAATTCAATTTTTTTTTTTTTGCCATCGCACCATTAAGAGTTAATATTGAATATATATTCAAATATTCGCCGTTAGTTTTTTTTTGTTTTTTTTTATCGTTAAGCTTTTATCGCCGACTATCTATCGCAGATAGATAGATATCTATCTGCACTGTACATCTTCATCTCGATCACGGGAGATGACAAACGAAAAGAAAAGACCATTATTAAGAATCTAAAGGGGTCGCGACGGAAAAGTATAATCACTTAATCACTTTCGGGTTTGCAATGAAGTTTTTCTACGGTGGACGTTATGTGCTAATATTTATCCTGCTCAAAGCAATACTCTGCCAATAGCGATAAAATCCAAAAGAATGCAGTCGAGCATGGCGGAGACAGAGCATATTGGGATGTAAGAAGTAACACTCGGATCTACAGGAATTATAACGACTGAAAGTCATTAAATCAGTGTCACATAAACAGTTAAAACAATTTTTCCCATATCTGTTGGCTGTGTTACTTCACTCTCACGTGTTGCACATGCCTAGTTTCAGCGAATTTCCGTAGTAGCATACCAGATGAGATTGGATACTTTCTAATATATAATAATTATTGCAATGCAAACGGCGTTAATGCAAGTACCGAGAGTACAGCCAATGATTACACACCGAGTTCGTGTAGACCACAAATAACCCCAAATTCGGCGAGCAGCATAATATGTTAAATTAAAAATCACAAATGATCCTTTACACAGATTTTGTTCAACGGTGAATGGTACGGCGCGTTTCGCAACCGCGACCATAATAATTAGCGGATGATTAATTATAGCGTTATTGATTTTACATTAACTACTCTATATACTATTCACGCTATAACAGTATCCATTATGCGAACGGCCGTTTTGTGGAAAATCGTCAAAAGCAATTTGTTTTGTACAATATAATAATATAATATATGTATAACTCACACAACGGTTTGTGGCTGTAGAACGCATTAGTTAATAAATCCTAAACAAACGCTGCCACTGACTCTATTAGTATGCAATAGTACAGGAATCGCTTTTGCCTTTTTTGCTTTTCGCTATTTTAATTATTAACATAGTATTATATATTTGTATGTACACGATATAGTGGCAAACATCTGCAAAGATAGCTACCACGGCGTGTAATGAAACAAATTAATTTAAAAAAGACCAACCAAAATAAACATTTCATTAAGCTACATGAAATGTATATGACCAACCGGCAGGCACGCACAAAGTATGTTGTATAAAGCAAAAAAAATGACCGGACTGAAATCAAACAAACATAGTATTATGTTACCCGCAAATACTATAATTTATTTAAAATTAAACCACTTAAAATTCCATCTATTGAAGCAACGAAAACGTTGCAGTGTTATTTATGGGCACGCAAAGCAAATTTAATTAAAAATTTACCAACCAGAAAGACTAGGAAATTTTAAAAAAGCTAGTAACGTTGACAAACATGGTTGCTATTAGACAATTCGAATCGTCGTGAAACGTTGTAAACGATTAATATTTAAATAATTGAAAACCAATCGTTTTTGTCATGGATGTGTCTTTTGGCTGGGGGTCAATAAGAAAATCTGTGCATCACGCTGAACGTTACCGTAGAACATATGTGCTTGTAGCGCAATCTAGCGGTTGATAAATAATCATCTGATAAGAGATGAGAGATAAGATAAAAGAGATAAGAGATTAGGTACTCTAGCGGTTGTAAGTGATTATTTATTAGAGATAAGAGATTGGGTACTCCAAAAAAGGTACTCCTAATTAGGTTATAATGATATAAGGATATATAAAGATAAAAGGATATTAGATATATTAGGATATATTAGGATATATTAGGATATATAAGGATATATTAGGATACATTAGGATATGTTAGGATATACATAAGGATAGTCGAATGAATTTGTTAGTTAGGCACTTACTTTCCTGGCGAACCACGAAAATTGATTTATGAGAAATGTTAAATATTGATACTGCAATTTGGTTTTTATCACCGAACACCATGTTGATGGAGATATGCGATTACCTAGTACGTTTAAGCCATGCCAACGTCCTAGGCCGGGAAATACTTCACAGCCCGTATTATCATTATTATTATTATTATTTAGTTCAGTACAAGCTACAAAAGCTCGTTTCGCGTGCAAATGTTTGGCTTTTTGTACTCGGGTGGCGCTTATCTCTCCAATAACAATTGTCGATCAATCACTATCGTCATCATCATTGTCGGCCGATATAATGCAGTGTATGTACACAAAAACCGTGTACATTATACTATTATGCACGCCGGCGTGTGTTGTGTATAACACACAAACACACACGCACGGGTATAATATTAATAGTAGCTAGTATATTATACTTTATTGTTATGTATATATGGCCGCGTTTGACGTGACTGATCGATGGAACTCGTCTGAATAATAACGGCAGGTCCCGGCGATTAATAAAATATACACAAACACCTGTTCGGTTGTACACGACCACGACTAAGCCGGGGTGGATGTTATTTATTATTTTCCGGCAAAACTGCCATTAAACGAGCTTTACCGCGGTTGACGTGTGTTCAGACATTTCCCGGAACAATAATTATTATTGCAATATGATACTACATTAGCTGCGACGTCTTAGTCATCGCGTTCCCGAACCAAGTATAGGTAAATCTTCCCGACACGCAGGTGGCAGCTGTACAAAATCAATCATCGAATATCTTGACACGTTTTTGTTTCACGCCATAAGTCTATTACATACATTTTCAA